CCGTCCAAGAAGCAGGCGAGACGCGGGCAGCGTAGCTGCCGGCTCGCTCCCGGAGCAGGGGCCCCGCCAAACGCTCTTTCTCGTGAACATGTAAGGTAAAACAAAATATTAGTAAATTGAATTTAGCAATTTGTAAAAGGTCAGTTACATCATCACCGAGTGGATTTAATCCCATCCAGCAATGCAATGTGATTTAACATGAAAAGGATTAATTAACACACTCCCCCATTGATAGCAAAGGACAAAGCATATACTCCTTTCAACAGAAGGGCCAAAGCCACTTGCCAGCTTCACACCTATTCACGCTGAAGCTCGGTGACTGGCAATCGAAGGGGGCTGCTTAGACAGGTGCGTGATTGCGGCGGCTCGGTGTGGGTGCACGCAGAGGGCAGACGGGAAAATGAAGAAGCCCCAACCCACTCACACCGGCTGTCACGAGAGGAGGCGTGGCTGTCCCAGGAGGGCTGTCTGACCCATGAGGAGGCACATCGGGTCCTTGCCCCTTCCTTACACTGCCCTGCACAGCGTCCAGCTCAATGAGAGAGACGAGCAACGCTCGGAGAGAGGAGAGAGAGGCAGGACAAAGTCTCCATGACCTCGAGTTGAATGACGGTCGGAACACCCGCCCAGAGCTCCCGGCAGAGCCCGGCATAGGCCCTGGTAACCGCGAGCTCAACGCCGAGACCGGGAACTGCGCGCCATGGAGAGGACACGTCCACGCCTCCTTGATAGAGTTCGTTAGTGCATCCCCTGAAGCCAGGACGTGTAGCCAGCACAGGAAGAGCCGGGGCTGCTGAGGCCGAGAGAGACGAGGCTGCGGGAAGTCCAGACGTCAACGGGTGCTCGTGGGGACGTGGTGTGGCCCTGGGTGGACAGGCCGGGTCGTCAGTGTGTCCCCTGGGTGGACGGGCCGGGTTGTCAGTGTGTCCCCTGGGTGGATGGGCCGGGTTGTCAGTGCATCCCCTGGGTAGACAGGCCGGGTTGTCAGAGTGCTCAGAGGGGCGGCAGCATACAGGCTGCAACACTGGAGCCCCGGAGCCAGGGGACGGCCACCTGTGCATGGCGAGGGGATGGCCCCTCTGTGCTTTCAGCAGTCACTAAAGAAAGACGCAGCCATCTGCGACCCTCCTCATGGCCATCAGCTTCACACCCAGTGGCCGCCCCATCCCCAGGTCAAGCCCTGGAGAGCCCCTGCTGAAGTCCCCACCGGGCAGGATGGAGGAGGCTCAGCATACTCCCAGCCAAGCCAGGTCGCCGAGGGAGCAGGCCCAGCCGCCTCCTGCCCTCCTGGTGATGGGAGCCAGGAGCTTGGGGACCTGGGTCAGGGGCTGATGCAGGGGTTTCTAGGGGCCACAGTGGCTCTTCATCCACCAGGGGCACACCGGCAGCCCTCAGGGGCCTGTGTTAGGGCTCCCCGGATGACACTGGCTCAGCCTGCCTGTCTTCCCCAATCGTACCAGTTCCTCTCTGACATCACAACAGGGCTCCTCGAGAGTAGACGGAAGCACCCTCGTCCCCACTGAGAGCCTCACTTACTTGCACAGGCTCCTGTGGACGTCGGCCCGTGCCCCGAGGGGAGGTGGCAGCTCCCACTCAGAGCAGGATCCTGGCCCACTCTGGCAGGTCCCTGTGGCAGAACCCTCGGGCATGGCTCTTTCCCGGCCGCAATCTCCAAGAATCTGGCTCCTGGTGTCTCCCCAGGTGCCTTCGAAG